GGGACACCCTTTTGGAGCCGTCTTGGAGGCCTTTGGCTCTGTCCTGGGTGCCTCTTGGGCCGTTGTGGGGCCATCTTGGGCCGTTTTGGAAACCTCTTGGAGGCCTCTCGGGCCGTCGTGGGGCGATCTCGGGGGCCTCTTGGGCCGTTCTGGAGCGTCGGGAAGCCGAAAAGGCGAGATCAAAAAACCCACGCATAATCTATGTGTTTTCCTTCCTAGGGCACTGCTGGGGCGTCTTGGGGGCATCTTCGGCCGTCTGGCGGCCACATTGGACGTCTTGGGCCGATCGTTCGACGACTCGGGACCCTCTTCGGCTGGCTTTGGGCCTCTTAGGGTCCTCGTGGCCCATCTTTGAGCTCCCTTGGCGTCCCGAAAGCTCGGGCGATAACTACACCCTTGCAGCGTCCAGAACCGCCCAGGAATGTCCAGGAACGCTTAGGAAACCAGGGGTTCGGGCCCTAAAGAACCCTTTAGAACCACAAGCCCTGTGCCTCGCAGAGCTGCATTAGCCTTGGAGCACTTCAATACACCGCACTCACATCTATACCCCTGGGTGGGTGTATGTGCGGTCGTTTTTGCGCTGTCATGTGCGCGCATGTGCGCGGCATGTGCCAGTCATGTGCCAGGCCTGTGCGGTCTTTCTTGGATGGACACCCTACTGTGCACGTCGTGCCCGGGCATGTGCGGGGGCATGTGCGCTGTGTTCTGATGTATCCATCATACGCACATGCACGCACAATCCGACGCACATGCGCGCACATGCCTGCACATGCGGGAGGTGTTCGAGAATCGCAGATCTGTCATCGGCACATGCACGCACATGCCTGTGCAACCTCTCTTCGGGAGGCCGCGCGGGCCCGCACATGCACGCACATGCGGTGAAGCGCGCGGGCGCACATGCGTGCACATCCCAATGCACATGCACGCTCATGCCCTAGGAGCTGTCTGGGACCCCTGTGCCTCCAATGCCTCCTGGCCTTCGCAGAGCTAACTTGGGGCGTGCCAGGGCTTCCTGAAAGAGTTTGTTGTGCGTTTAGACTCGCCCGCTGCTGGCGGGGGCGGTTATTCGCCCGGTTCGTGAGCTGGCGGTGGCGCGCCCGCCTAATAAAATACTCTCCCGCGCGCCTTCTCAGCTCGGCCGGAGAAGCAGGGATGGGGGGGGGGAGGTGGAGGGGGGGGGGAGGAGGGGGGGGCGGAGGAGGCGGGCGCCCCCGGCCACTGGCCCGCCTGCCTGTTCGGCTCGGCCAGAGGAGGAGGAGGAGGAGGAGGAGGAGGAGGAGGAGGAGGAGGAGGAGGAGGAGGAGGAGGAGAGGAGGAGGAGGAGGAGGAGGAGGAGGTGAGAGTTGCGAGGATGTCTCAGGCGAAAGTGGCTTGACGGCCCGAGCTCAGGGAATTTCGGAATCGCTGGCCTGGCTCGGCCACCGGCGAGCTCGGCCTGTGCGAATACTGTGCGTACCTGTGCAGTGCATGTGCGGGACGTGCAAGAATGCCGGGGCCGGCGTTCGTCTCCGGACGCCGGCGCGTTCGCGTCCGGCCAGTTCCGCGTGAGACGTCGTCGGCAATTTGGAGGCCGACGTGCTTTGACATGAAGTGATCTGGCCACCTTCGCTTGAGACATCCTCGCAACTCTGGTCTCGGAGATGCCCTGCCCCATGGTGGCCCGGCCACTTTCGCTTGAGACATCCTCGGGACTCTGGGTTTCGAGACGCCCTGAGCTGAGGTGGTTAGACCACTTTCGCCTGAGACATCCTCGCAACTCTGACCTCAGAGATCTCTTGCCCCATGCTGGTCAGGCCACGGTCGCCTGAGACATCCTCGCAAGTCTCGATTCCGATATGCCCCGAGCTGAGGTGGTCAGCCACTGTCGCCTGAGACATCCTCGCAACCCTGATTTCAATGATGCCCTGCTCGATAGTGTCTCGGCCCCTTTCGCCTGAGACATCCTCGGAACTCTGGGTTCCGAGACGCCCTGAGCTGAGGTGGTTAGACCACTTTCGCTTTAGACATCTTCGCCCGAGATGCCCTAAGTTGAGCTGTTCAGGCCATTTTTGCCTGAGACATCCTCGCAACTCTGACCTCAATGATGCCCTGCTCCATAGTGTCTCGGCCTTTTTCGCCTGAGACCCTCGCAACTCTGGGTTCTGAGATGCCCTGAGCAGGTGGTCAGGCCAGTCCTGCCTGAGACATCCTCGCAACTCTGGGCTCCGAGATGCCCTGGGCTGAGGTGGTCAGACCACTCTCCCCAGAGACATCCTCGCAACTCTGACCTCAGAGATCTCTTGCCCCATGGTGGTCAGGCCACTTTCGCTTGAGACATCCTCACAACTCAGACCTCGGAGGTGTCCTGCCCCATGGTCGTCTGGTCACCTTGACCAGCGACATCCTCGCCACTCTGGTTTCCAAGATGCCCTGCCCCATGGTGATCCGGCCACGCTTGCCTGAGACATCCTCGGAACTCTGGGTTGCGAAATGCCCCGAGCTCAGGTGGTCAGGCCACTATCGCCTGCGACATCTCTGCGGCATGTGCGGGCATGTGCGTCTATGCTTTCAGAGTTTTGCTTGACCGTGCATTCGACTGTGCGTCGGACGGTGTGGCATGTGCGCGCATGTGCGGCAATGCTGTTGAGGCTTTTGTATAGTTGCATGGGCATGTGCATGCGACTGTGCGGCATGTGCCTGCATGTGCGGCCCCTTCCGGACCGGAATTTCAAAGTGAGCACTATAGAAGTGAGCGCTATAGAAGTGAGTCCGGTGTACGTGCCGAAGGCACGGTGGCGGATAAATCTAAGAAGCCATGAAGCGCAGCGCCAACAGCCTCCTCCTTCAGTTCTCATCGTCCTGCTCCCCATCCTTGCCCTTCACCCGCCTCCCACCTCCCCGTCGTACTCGTGCCCCTCCGACTCCACGCCCTCGTCGTGCTCGTGCCTTAGGCGTCTAGGCATCAAATGGATCCTGAGGCAAACGTGTCCTCGGCCCCGAGGCTTTCCCATCGACTCACGGCCCTGGGTCCAGAGAGGGCCCCGCTTGGCGAAGGCGGCGGAACAAATCCTGGTCACTGTACTGCAGAACCACTTTTTCATGGCGATCTTCCTCCTTCATGTCTCCTCCTACAGGCGCGCAGGCGCCCTGTCCAGTGTACCTCCTCCCCCTCCTAGATTGAACAGCAATGTGCTGTCGAGTAGTTGGCACCCTGCGAAGTTGACCCGGGGACGCAAACGTTTTTTTAGCCAGCAGAAACCACGTCTTTACGATTGCTGGGCAAACAGGCTGCCAAGTAGTGACCTTACCAGCTCCCTCTGGCTACCTCATGCGTCGGTGGCTGCAAGTGCCAGGACGGCCCCCTGCGGGGCCACGGCCGTGGCCCTGGTGCGTGGAGTATGGCATATGCACCTTCTTCCAGAAGCCTAGGCTCACCGCGCCAATTGCTTCCAGTTAGTCGTGTAACATTCAGGGCCCGCTGCTACGCGATGTTGTGAGGACGAGTGGGTAATGTACCCACTGGACAGTCAGACATCATGGAGCTGAGGGTTTGCGTTTTCCCAACTCTCCTGTGTTGGGTTCTCGTTTGGATAGAGCACTGCGGTCGCACACTCCTCCTCCTCCTCCTCCTCCTCCTCCTTTCCTCTGGGGCCGTGCACTCCTCCTCCTCCTCCTCCTCCTCCTCCCTCTTGCTTCCCGTTGGATCCCCAAACCTTCTTTGGTTGGATTCTCGTTTTGAACAGAGCAATGTGGCCCCCATTTCCTCATCCTGCCTCCCTCCTCCTCCCAGCCTTTCCTTCATCCCCTCCCTTCAGCCCCCTCTATTTCCTGTTTAGTCCTCCGCTCCCTTGTCGAGACCTCGCGGCTCCCTGAGGGGTTGCGAACCGCGCGTCTGTCGCCATGTTCGTGGTCCTCTGGGAGGTCCAGCGGAGTGGAGGCCCGCGCAGCTCTGCCGAGACCTCGCGGCTCCCTGCGGGGTTGCGAACCGCGCTTCTGTCGCCCTGTCCGTGGGTTCCTGGGAGGTCCAGCGGGGTGGAGGTCCACGCAGATCTGCCGAGACCTCGCGGCTCCCTGCAGGGGTTGCGAACGCGCATGTGTCGCAATTTGTGTGGGCTCATGCGAGGTCCAACGGAGTGGAGGTCCATGCAGATCTGCCGAGACCTCGCGGCTCCCTGCGGGGTGCGAACCGCGCATTAGTCGCCAGTCTCGTGCCTCATGGGAGGTCCAGCGGAGTGGAGGTCCACGCGGATCTGCCTAGACCTCGCGGCTCCCTGCGGGGTTGCGAACCGCGCTGCTGTCGCCATTTTCGTAGGTTCTTGGAAGGTCCAGCGGAGTAGAGTCCACGCATGTCTGCCGAGACCTCTCGGCTCCTTGCGACGTTGCGAACTTCGTTTCTGTCGCAATGTTCGTGGGTTCCTGGGAGGTCCAGCGGAGTGGAGATCCACGCAGATCTGCCGAGACCTCGCAGCTTCCCGCGGGAGGTCGAATCGCGCAAGTCTCGCCATGTTCGTGGGCTTCTGGGAGGTTCAGCAGAGTGGAGGTCCACGCAGATCTGCCGAGACCTCGCGGCTCCTTGCGGGGTTGCGAACCGCGCTTATGTCGCCATGCTCGTGGGCTCCTGGGAGGTCCAGCGGAGTAGAGGTCCACGCAGATTTGCCGAGACCTCCCTGCTCCCTGCAGGGCAGCAAACCGCGCTTCTGTCGCCATGTTCGTGGGCTCCTGGGAGGTCCATCGGAGTGGAGGTCCACGCAGCTCTGCCAAGACCTCCCGGCTTCCTGCAGGGTTGCGAACCGCGCTTCTGTCCTGTGAGGTCCAGCGGATTGGAGGCCCATGCGGACCCAGCCTAGACCTTGCGGCCCCGTGGGGGGCTGCGAAGTGCGCGTCATATGTCATGTTCGTTTGTGTTGAGCGGTCCTTCATGTAGCTGCCCCTTGTTAGAAAAGTGTTGGGTGCGTCACCATGTAATTGACGTTTTCGGTTGGTGTGGGGGGGGGAGGGCGGGGGACGGCCGCAGCGGCAAGGCCAGAGCCGTCCGATTGCGTGTTCGCCTTCCTGGTGGAGGAGGAGTTCCAGGCGGCGCCAGTCGGCGGCGGCGAGCGAGGGGGGGACGTCAGAAGGGGCGGGCCTTCTCAGAGGGCTCGGTGAAGTCTCCTAAGTAAGCCTTAAAACCTGAAAAACCGATCAGAAAGCCGGAGGCCTTCTGAGAAGTTCCGCCGACGTCTGAGAAGGCCGTCTCCTTCTCACTGCCTCCTCTCGCTCGCCGGCAAGCCAGGGGTCGGGGGCAACGCGAGGGGGGACAGGCTCAGGGGACATGCATCGACCCTTGGCTGCCGCCGCTTGCTTGACGGCCTGGGGGCAATTTTTCAGGGAGGATCGGAGGTTCGAGGTGTGAGGTTGTCGTATGCTTTCTTCGGTCCTCAGCGGTTTTCCGGCCTCGCGGCTGCGCCTTTCCGAGAGCGCTCCAGGGGTGCCCAGATTGCCCCGAACGGCCGTTGGAGATCCGAGTTATGGCCCGAAAGCCAGGGCGATTTCGAAGGGTGGTATAGGCTCAGGAAGGATGCCTCGACCCTCAAGCGCCCGTTGATCGCCGAGAAGGACCCGATAGTCCACCCCGCCCAGGATGAGGAATCGCTATCGAGGGCATATCGCCGATCAATCGCGGCGCGTGGCCGGTTCCAGGTCGATGTCCCCCCTCACTGAGGAAGCCACCCCTCCTCGTTGCAGCTCAAGGGGTCGGATGTTGCTAGAAGTGCCCCTGGCCCAAGGTGCCCCGAGGATTTCCAAGGAGGTCCCCCCACGGTCTCCAGAGCAACACCCACGACGCACAAGAGGACCCCAGGGGTTCAAGGTTTGAGCGAAAAAGCATGGGGCATTCTTGGACCAGGGGCACGTTGAGCAACCCCCGAAGGGGGGGCGCACAGCCAGACCGAGGCATAGGATCGAAGGTCGGTTCGGGGAGGGTACCTTAACGGTCTTCGTGTCGGTTGGATGTTCTGGTGCATCCTGATTGGAAATGGTGCTCTCGCCCGAGCTCTGCGCTGGCCACATGCCTCATCATCAGGCGTGGTGCTCTCGCCTCAGCGCCGGCCACATCCCTGAGTGTGCATATGGCTGCCGCTCGAGCGCCGGCCACAATCACATGCTGGGACGCTTATGGCATGCATTTTGGAGGGGTTGTCCGGATTGTCCAGGGGGTTGTCCAGGAATTTGTTCTGAGAGTATTTGTTTCCGTTGAACATCGTAGCCTCGAATGTTCTTTAGGTTGTGCCAGCGAAGGGTCTCATGCTCCTGAAGGATGTTATTCTGTCCTACAAGCCTCGTCAAACATAAACAAATTCGAAGCGCCCGATAGTCCGGGCACTTGTCAGAAAACACGTTCTTCATTGTTGCGAGGGTTGTGCCGGATTTCGGACATCCCTGTTCGCGGGCCAAAAGCCTCATGCCAGCATTGAAGCAGCGCCGACCGCGCGAGCGCCGAAAGCGGAAACCGTCAGTTTATGTTTGGCGAGTCTTGCAGGTCCAGTTGTCAGTCTTCCAGGTCTTCTCCTCCACCCTCCCCGGCCTTGGGGCGGGGGGGGGGCTCGCTGCCGCGGCCAGGCGCGGGGGGGGGGCCCGCCGCCGCGGCCGGGCGCGGCGCGAGAAGCCAGACGGGGCGGCGTTTTGGGCGGGGTCCCGGAAGAGACCCCGAGGGCCAATGGATGGCTGGGCGAGAATGACCTCGTGGCATCGCTCGGACGTGTGCATTCTATCCCTGCCGAGGACCCTTCGAGGAGCATCCTCGACCATCGGGCCAGAAGAGCACGCACGAGACCGAAGAACGCGCAGGGAATGAGCGTCCGAGCGACGACGAGGAACTGGTGGTGGGGGGGAGACAGGCTCCCTGTGCGGGCCCGAAAAGCCACCTCTGAGGCCCGAAGGGGCCCCTGCATGTGGGCCCTGAGTGGCGCCTTTTCTGCCGCCCTCGCTGCCCCCCTCATAGATCGCCCCGGCATTCGTTAAATTCGCCCCTCCAGACGTCGCGAAATGACCCAAGCTCCTCCTGTCACCGCGAAGGGGTCGAGCGGTCGGTGGGCCGATGAGTCGAGCAGGCTCACTGGGATGTTTGGCGATGGAGCAGAGGAAGTCCAGGGACGGACAGGGGGAGCAGGTTCAGGAGGAGGCGAAGAGTAAAGGAGGAATGACAAGGACGGAACTTGGTAAGTGTAGGAGGGGGGGAGGAAGAGAAGGTGCGGAGGAGGTTGCGGAGGATACAGAGGACGAGGAGTGGAGACTTGGAGGAAAAGTAGGCGGAGGAGCCAGAGTCGTCCAGTCTGAACACTAAGGTTCAGACGTTTAATACGGAGCTGACATTCGGGGGTTTGGGGGGCTCAGATGGTTACAGTCAAACCAGCCATGAGGATGAACAGTTGAAGAAATTGGTTTTTACCCGGAGTTCTGGCATCTTTGCCATGTTTCTTTGCTTCGACTCACGGGTACCCCTGATTCGGAACGGTCTTAACGCCTTGCATCATCGTATCCCATTTGATCAAGAGGTTGTGATTGCAACCAAGGGGTAATACGGACCAGGTGAATGGAGCGTGTTGCCAGTGGAAATAAGTCGGATGCCCTCCATTTGGCCTTACCACAGTTGGCATCTGCGTGATGAGAAGGATAAGCCTGGCTTTGTTGCGTGTGCGGCTTTGGTTGGTCCACGGCTACAATGAAAACGTTTGTGATGTTCCAATCGGCATACGATTCGTATCAGCGTCATGCGACTGTTGCAATTGCCGCAGCTGTATGTCGTCATCGTCACTCTGAACGCTGGTGGCCAAGGGCGTTCCTCAGCCGCCACGTTGTTCCCGTCTTGGTATTGCTAGCGGAGCTTGCGTTTCGTATTATACCGCTCGCGCTGCTCATGTTTGCAGCAGCAGGCTCGAGTTGATACGTTGCGCTTTTTGAGGGACCTGGGTGCGTTTTGATGTTATGCACCCTGGGTCTTTCGTAAGCCGGCGCCTCCCCGAATTGGGCAAACTCGAGCGTGCCAGTCCAGTAAAGCAGGAAGGCTGAACTACGTTGAGAGGTTGATGCGTGCATGAGGCTTGGTACGCCTCCAAAGACGAGGACGAGCAGCAGCGTTGGAGCGGGGTCCCCGGCCCCACCCGTCGCGGCGCGCTCCGCAGGCGGTGCTCGGAGAGTTCGGGCCCGCCCTGCGGGGGGTCTTCCGCGGCGCCTCGCGGCAGGCGCGTTGGGAGCCGGCTCCGGGGGTCTCCGGACACTCCTGGCCCCTCGTCCTCGCTCATCGTCATCTTCCTCTTCCTGCTCCTCCTCCTCCTTGCCGCGCCTCCTCGCCCCTACTCCTCGCCCCTCCTCCTCGCCCTTCCTCGCCCCTCATCGCCCCTCCTTCTCCTCCGCGCTCCTCCTTCCCGTCATCGCTCCTCCTCGCTCCTCCTGTAATTATTCGCTCCTCCTCGCTTATCCCTCCCTCCCTACAACTGCTGCATGTGAGTGCTATTCTCCTCTCTCCCCGAACTCCGTTCTGGAGATGTCCCGCCCTCTCCGTTTACAGTCGAGGCGCTGAGGTAAGGACCGATTCGGGATCAGGAGGGGCTCGGGTTCTCGGGCCGTTCCTTGGATCTAGGTGGGGGGACCCTGTTTGTGGCCAAGGCCCGCCGTGGCCAGAAAAGCGTCGACTGTATTGCTCTATTGCACCGTAAGTTTCACCACTGTGGTCTTTCGTGCGCTGTTTCATCAGTGCTCCCGATGCCGAGGGGAGCACTTTTCTGGGTCCATGTCCTCCATCGCTGCCACCGTCTTGCAATTGCTGAGTATGAGTGGAGACATGTTGTTATCCCCTGGTGATAGCGGTCGTGACCGCGGGGGGAGGGGGTGTCGGTCACGTCACGATTCGCGCCAGCGCCATCTGGGAATGCCTAAGAATGGCGAATTCCCCGACGACGCCGGCGCAAACCGTGACGTGACAAGGAGGGGTGAGGGGGGGGGGGCAGGCCAGTATTGGACCTTTTTCGAACATGAATCATTGGTTCGTACTATTCTCCTCTCTCCCCGGACTGCGTCCTGGCAATGTCCCACCATTCTCCTATGTTGTTTTGGAAACATAGGGTGTGTTGTTTGTGGTTTCTCCGACCGACGCGTTCTCGGTGTTTCAAATGGTGTGCCCGCTACAGAGTGGACCACTTTCCTGGATCCAAGTCCTTCGTCGTTACCGCCCCGTCCTTTCCTGTCCTCCGTTGTCACCTGGTTCTCCTGATCTTCCCGTTGCTCTTACGCTTCCTGCTGCTGTTGTTTCTACTTGTCCTCCCCCTCGTCTCCCTCCTGCTCATCCTCCTGCTCATGTGCAACCTCCATCACTGTAGTGTAATATTGAGATTAACACATGACCAGACCCCCCCAGGGCTGATGAATAGACCCCGCGGGGCGCGACACTTGTTTTTTCAATTTCGCGCGCCAAGGGGTGGGGTCGTCGCTGGCGCCGCCGGGGGGATCGTGTACCCTCCTGCATGAGAGCATCAAAACGATTGCCTCTCGTATACAAGTTGCTATAGGGTTCGTGCACATCCTTGGCGCATATGTGTTTCCCCGTCGTCGTCGTGGTCGTCGTCGTCGTCGTCGACTACAGCGGGCTTGCGCGGCCCTCTGGTAGGGCATCTGCAGTGAGTGGTCGTCGTCGTCGCCGCCGTCGCCGTCTGCCGTCCGTCGTCGTCGTCCCGTCGTCGTCGTCGTCGTCCGTCGTCGTCGTCGGCAGCCGTGGCTGCGGCCAGGGCAACGGAAACGCATCATTTCGACAGAAAAAAAGCACGGAAGGGGCGGGGGCGAGCCCCGACGGCTGATCTTTTTCATTTCAAACAGGTGTCGCCCTGGCTCACGGTCCCTGCTTCTGCCGCCTTTGCTTCCCGCACCCCTCCCCTCCCCCAGTCTGAATTGTCTGTCGCCTTCTCGTTGCCGGCCGGGCGTCCGCGCTAATCACGGACGCCGCCCCGTTGATTTTCAATTTGGCGGGCGCCATCCCGCAATTCGCCCGAGCACGGGAACTATGCTTTAAAACGCGCGCCCCCCACGGATTTGTTGACCGCAAGCTGACCTCGCACAGCTCCCCTGACAAAATTCCAGCTGCCTGCAGCAAGTCCCGCGACTGTGCCAGCACAGCATTCTGGGAGGCGATTGTTCGATGGGGCACGGGAGGCCGTCGCGTGTAAGACCCCGTGTCAGATGATTCGGGTTGCCGATGCGAATGATTGTATTATGTTGACGACGATGATGATGATGATGATGATGATGATGATGATGATGATGATGGTGGTAATGGTGATCGTGATTGTGATGATGATGGTGATGGACATGGTCGTGAAGGGTGATTATGCTGCTGCTGGTGATGATGATTACGGTGGTCGTGCTGGTGTTGAAGATGATGACGCTGTTGTTGCTGATGACGGTGATGGCGATGCTGGTGGTGATGGTGATGGTGGTGATGATGGCGAGGATGCTGTTAATGATGATGGCGATGGTGAGGGCAGGGAGTGGTGATGTTGATGCTGCGAATGATGATGGTTATGCTGGTTGTTGTAATGTTGATGGTGGTGACGCTGTAGATGATGCTGGCGACGATGATGGTAATAATGATGAGGGGGGTGATGATGTCGATGGAGATGAGCATGCTGGCGCTGATGATAAACATGTTGTTGGTGCTGGCGATGCGGATGGTAACGAGTATGGTAATGATTGTTACGGTGATGATGATGCTGATGATTATGACGATTCGGATGGTTGTTATGATGATGCTGCTGGTGCTGATTCGGCTGCTGCTGGAAATGATGGCGACGATTATGGTGACGACGGCGATGATGATGCTGCTGACGACGACGACGACGACGACGACGAGGAGGAGGAGGAGGAGGAGGAGGAGGAGGATGGCCCGTTTAAATCGTCTTCATGCTGTCTTGGCCTCCTGTGGGGCAAGGCCGACCTCCACGAGGGCGCAGACGAGGAGGCCTGCTCGCGCCCGAAGGACTGCCGGGGCGAGCCGCGGCACGAGCCGACGATGGTCTAAACCAGAGTAGAAGGGGGAGCACAGGTGATCGTTTTTTACCTGTTGCTTTGCCGGTCGGCGCGGGCCCTCGCACACACCCCCCCTGGAGTAGAGAATCTTGGCTGTTTAGGGCGCCTGTTTCGAGCAGGTGGGGTCTCCCCCACAGGACGCACTGCTGGAAACAGTGGCATTAAGCAGAGGTCGGAGCCAAACCCCCCCTTTCCTCCCAATGCCGAAACGCCGAATGAGAAACGCTCACCAGATGGGGGGGGTCGGATTAGGTGCAATAGTATTTGCACCAGTGTTTGCATGGATGCAGCCGTTTGCGGTTTGTCGACGCGTTCGTGGCGCTTGGATGCAATCGTGTATTCGTCCAAGCGCACTAGTTTGCGCCGCTCGCAATTGGTCGGGCGCCCCCACCACGAGTTCGCGCAAGAATTCGCGCAAGCGAACTACTGCACTTCCCACCGCTCCCACCCCATTTAGCGTTGCCCCCATAGCTCATGGCGCAGCCATCGACGACGACAGCTGTCAACTTGAAGTCATGCTCTCCAGAACCCCTCCAGGCATTGGGTGCCCAAACGACTCATTCCTGCCTCTGGGGCCGTGGAGAGAACCAGGAGTTTCAATTCAGCTGGTGTTCTGGCTGTCCAGCCGAGTTCGCCGTTCTCACGTGGGGATGGGGTGGAAGGAGAGAGATTCGGGGAGGCGGGTAATGGCGGCAAGGACGGAGTGGAGAGGGGGGGGAGGGATGGATACTGGCAGTGAATCGGGGAGGGAGTGAGGAAATAAGGAAGATAGTGTGGGGGACATTGTGGGAGAGAGGACAGAGCAAGGGACCAAGCAGGTGGCCGTAGAGGCGGAGGGTGAGGGGAGTGATGACGGAGGGATGGACAGCCCAGTAATAATAATGATAATAGTAATGATGATAATAATGATAATACTAGTAATCATATTAATAATCATAATCATACGCGGCGCGCAGTGTCGCAGTGTGCTCTGAATGTGTGCGCTCGACAAGGCGGCCACTCGAAGGCCGCTCCGAGCGTTTTCCAATGTGGAGGGCAGCTTGCAATCAGTCGTATGACTGATAGGTCATTGCTGCCAGCCGAGGCCGAAATCAAATCCGGGGCAGGGCAGCGTGGAGCCTGGGCAGGCCCCAACGAGCTCATCTCCAACTCTGGGATGGACAGCGGAGGGAGAGAAGGAGGGCGGGACCCAGACCTGCGATGCTTTGAATTCTTCCACACGGGTCCCCAGAGGCCCCAGCCCTTCCCTCAGAACCGGTTTGTTGTCCCGTATAGTTGTTTGATGATCCCGGAGCCTGTCGAGGGCCCCCTGGGCCAACAACGGCCAAACATTGTCCGTCCATCGCTTTTTCCACGACGCGAGGGGTGGGGAAGGAGAGAGGGTTGGGGGTGGGAGGAGGTGAGACTATCAGCTGTGATGCAGGGGTGCGCCGAGGACTTCGGAGCTGTTCGTCGGCAGTTTCACGTCGGCGCTCGCCTGGACCAGACCGTTCGGCTGAAGGCGGCGGCTCTCTTCGCTGCCGATGGCGCTCAAGCTGCGGAGATGAACACCCAGACGTCTCTCGCGTCGTGAAGCAACACGACGGGAGGTGTTTGGCCACATGTTCGGCCTCGGGGGGTGGCCTTTGCCGGGCCCCCGGACCGTCAAACACAAGTCCGGATGAAGCAGCGGCTTCGGGGCATTGGTCGCGACCTCCAGGGGTCCACGGAGCGGAAAAATCACGACCGACGAACGAACAACACACACCCATACCCATAATTAGGGGGCCGGAGAGGGCTGGGGTAAGGGGTGCGTGTGGTCGGATGGGGCTCTCCGCTCGAACGGGGAGCGTCCCCCAGGGTCCAACAACCCGCACCCCATGGGTATGGGTGTGCGTCGTTCGTTCGTCAACGACGGCGGGGTCCAGGGCGGAAAGGGGGGAGGACGCTGGTGGGCTGCCCGCCCAGGCCCCGGGCATCCACTCGGGGGGCAGCTCGTGGCCTCGGCGGCTTCAGTTTCTAGAGGGATAGGCGCAGTGGCCTCCCACTTCTCCCTGGGCTCTCTGCGCTTTTTGCCCTCCCCCCCCTGGATCTTGTGTCTACTGATGGGGGCCTCCCTGGGCCCCTGCAGGTTTGCTTCTAGGAGTGGAAAAATACACACAGGCACACTGAATCGTCGATCCCCCGGAAAATATCGGAATTTATTGAAAGTGGGGGGAAGACGACGATCTAGAAAATATTAGAACATCATGGGATTTGTGTGTATTTACTGGTGTGTCCCTGGCCCCCTTCAGTACTGCTCTCTGTCTCTTCTTGTTTTTTTGTTCGCTCTCTCTCTCTCTCTGTCTCTCTGTCTCTCTCTCTCTCTCTTTCTCTCTTTTCATTCTCTTTCTCTCTCTCTCTCTCATACGAGCGGTGTGCGCCCCGAGCCGAGCGGCGGGCCCGGCGGGCGAGGGAAGGAGCTGATCTCGGACCCGGCTGAACTTTTATGGCGCCAACATCGCAGAGCGGATGCTGTTCGGAACACAGTGGGATGGGCCAGGACTGTCCTGGAGAATTTCGATCTGGATTTCGAAGTGAGTTTCGTGCGTGTTTTGGGGGGCCAGGAATGAAGACTACAACAAATCCACGTGACATTCACGTCGTTTTTCGCTCGCCATGTCGGGGTGTTGCACTGAGAGAAATCCACAGAAATTCGCTGCAGCACGTCTGCAAGGCCGGTGCAATGAGAACTCGTACTCCGCTGTTTTGGCCATGACGCGAGGCTCCCGCCAAGTGCACCGCAAGGGCAAGGGGCTAATCTAGGATCCGGCTGATTTCGCACCCGGCTGAGCTCGGACCCGGTTGAACTCGGACCCAGGCCCGCGACTGCTCTCGGACGCGCCGAGTCGGACCCGGCTGAAGTCGGACCCAGTTGAACTCATATCCGGCTGACCTCGGAACCGGTTGATTTCGGACCCGGCTGATCTCGGACCCGGTTGACCAAGGACCCGGCTGAACTCGGACCCCGATGAACTCTGACTGAATTGATCTCAGCCTTGGCTGATTTTGCACGCGGCCTTTCCGGCTGCGGCGCGAGCCTCCTGTCGTGTGCGTCTCAAGGGAAGGGGCTGATCTCGAACACGGTAGAATTTGGACCCAGCTGATCTCGGACGCGGTTTTACTCGGACCAGTTGAGTTCGGATCTCTTGAATTTGGATCCCGCTGAACTCTGATCCTCGCGCCGCGCAAAATATTGTTGAGGTGGCGAGGTGGCCTTCGCGGAGCAGCAGCTCTGAGTCTCTGACAATATATCTTGCCAGGTGCTCGTTCCGGGCGGCGCGGTTACCCCTGCCATTGACAAGCCGTTGGAAGCGGTGGCGCAGGCGCATGATGAAGTGGCGATCCCAGCTGGGGAGACGGCGACGATGCGGGGCATGCGGCCGAATCCGCCCGAGCTGCAGCAGCGGGCGGAGCATGAGCGGCACCAGGAAGTGCTGCGTGCCGTGCAAGCCGCAGCTGCGAGTTCGCCCACGCAGCTGGAAAGCACCCCGACGCAGCCGTTCACCACCGACCAGCGCACCGCCAAGGCTACGCTCACCAAGACCGTGGGCGGCAGCAGGGCGACGCAGATAGATGTCCGAATTGGGGGGTGATGTCGCCGACACGCAATTGGATACGACATCTGCTGTGTAAACATGTCGTGCTCTTGTTTTGCTGTGTGTGTTGTCCGCGCTGTCTGTGGCGCCGGATGTGGCTGTTCGGTTTGTGTCAGCGTTCGCAGGATCGACAGGGCTTCAGTCGCTGGGTTCCGCTATGGAGCTCCGTGGGCAGCAGTGCCGCACGACAGGAAACCGCGAGGATGCATCCAGCTGCGTGTGACAAATCCCGCCATCGCGTCTGTGCAAGAGCGCAGAAAGAAGGTGTGTGAGTGCAGGAGCGGCGCCATCCCGATGCGTGCCTTGATGAAGACGGTTCGGAGAAGGCCGCGTTCACGCATTGCTGCAGTACAGGGAGCGATTGCGTTTGGGGGGTCGCGATCCCGGCGTCGTCTGCGTCCGCGCGGTTATTGCCGCGCAGAGCGTGTCCGAATAGAATGGGGCGCGCGTTGTTTCCGCTTCGGGCGCAGGCGTGGCTGACGGATTGTATTTTCGCCTTGTCTGTGAGATCCAACTGCTCCAAATGAAGCGACTCCAGTGAACCCACGCCTCGTGGTATTGGGGCGCTGGGGTCTTGGAGGCTTTGGGCCGCAAGGGCTCGAATGTCTGAGCCTTCAGGACCCTAGGGTCTGATGGGCTTTGTGGTTTCATGCTTTAGGGTCTTCAAGCTTAAAGGTCGTGGCATATTTAATCCCACCAGCCCTCTGAGCGTAGGTGGTCTGGAGAGGTTCCTTCAACCCCCTTTTTCCCCTTCGGGGAGGGGTTTGTCCCCCCCCTGCCCTCACCTTGACCCGGAGGGGGAGTTCGCGAGCGGCCAGAGCATCCAAGACGGTTCCAAGAAGGCCTGAAGAAGCCCAAGCCGACTTCCAAGACGGCCCAAGATGGCCAAAGATGGCTCAGTATGGCTCCCAAGGTGCCCCAAGAAACCCCAAGACCGCTCCAAGACGGCTCCAAGTGGTCACGGACCCCCCCCGGAGGCCGCCAAGAGGCAAACTTCTTTTAAACAGCGAAATGAGTTTCGATGATTTTCGCTCTCTCGCCTTCTTGGTTTCGATGGGCTTCCGAGGCCTCAAGATGGCTCCAAGGTGGCCCGAGAGGAAGGCCCCCCAAACGCCCCCACACGCGCCCAAGAGAGCCCCAAAAGCAGTCCAAGAAGGGTTTTGGGGCTCCGGAGGGGGGGGGCGTAATTGAAGCGCCCCCTTCTTTCACCAATATTTTCCAAGATGGCCCCAAAAGCGCTTCCAAGGCCCCCAAGAGCGTTCCAAGAGGGCGCACAGGAGGCCCCAAAGAGATCCCCAAGAGGCCCCAGGAGGTTCCCTGAGGTACCCAAAACGCTCCAAGAGGATTCCCGGACCGCCAAGGGCCCCCAAGACACCCCAAGAAACTTCCAAATTCGCCATTGACCGACTCTTCCGTTTCCTCGTCCTCTTCATCCGCTTCTATTTTTCCCCCACAAGCCAGCGCCCGAGAAAATGAAACCTTGACCCAGGGGCCGAGAAAACGAGACAATGAGAAAACGAACCCAGTGCCCGAGGAAGGCGTTAATCAAGCAACGGGGCGAGGCGGAGAACGGACCCGTCTACGCCCTGGGCGAATTTGAGGCACTGGAGTACAACGTCACAGAGGTGATCGAGCCCGAGGCCGCAAACATGGCTAACTCCGCGCAGGGGTTGCCGACCTTCCTCTACAGGTTCGCGGTGCGCTCGGAGATGCAACGCGTACAGCTTGCCAGAATGAACTAGCTCGCGCAATCGTCTTACAACTTCCACACCGGGGTTTCCTGGAGCCGCTACTTCAAGAAAATGGTGCGGGCGCGAATCCACAGGATCAGGTGCGCCTTTAAAGGGCAAGAGGAGAAACTTCAGCTTGCCGACGGACCGGGGGGAAGCTGAGGATGCTTCCGAAAGGACTTCGAGAACCTACCAGGAATAATCTAGGCCGCACGCCCTTCAGTAAACGGACTCGACCCTTGACCATCCAAGCTGTCGAAGCAAGCAGGGCCAAGCACCGAAGGCACCGACGGGGCGGGGAGATCAAGCACCAAACCGCGCAGGCCGAGGACGTCGAGGACGCGTGCTCGAGCGAGGGCGACGACGAGCAGGCGGAACATCCCCGTGGTGGGCCACCCGGCGCAGCATCTGGCGGCGACCCCGCCGGCGACCCCCTGCCGCGTCTAGGGGGCCCTTGCGAAGCCAGCCTGGAGAGAGGAAGCCTCTGGCCGATGCAAAAGCGAAGGCGCAGGAAGAGCAGAGTTCCAAGGGGCCAGCGCCGCCCCAGGCGCTGGCTGCTGGCGGGGCCCAGGCAACAAGAGGACCTCAGTGGCCGCCCCTTCGTCTGCGCAGCGCCCCCGCGCCAGCGGGGGCACCGTCGACGACGCGGTCAGGGAGGCCGCCATGGAAACGCCGACGCCCGACGACAAGCCGTTACTCCCTGGGCCGAAGCGCCTCGGACCCGTCGTTGTTGACGTTGTGGTCCCCGACGAGCACGGCAACATTTCCGTCCTGGTCCTCGGTCGAAGCCGAAAATGTGAGTCCCCCGCATGCGGTCGCTATGCCAGCGGGGGAAGGGTCGACCGGGGGGATCTGGGCGCTGCTCGCGAGCGGGTCCTTGATTTTGATTGCGCTGCCAAGCGCGCGGCACGTCGGGAGGTTGAGGGAGTAGCTGGACTGCGCGCTTCTGCAGGCAACTTGGCGGGGATTCCGAATGGCAAGACTGCGAATCCACTTCGCGTGAACTGCGGGGCCCACCTGGAAAATTATCGGGTCAGTGGGCCGCGCAAGTGTCATCGTTGCGAAGTGTGTGGGTGGGGGGGGGGGGGGGGGGGGGGGGGGGCCTGAGGCGCCGGCTTCTAGGCAGCCCTGCCGGAGTCGGGCGCCATGTCTGG